CACACACATACGCACACTATGGTTGTTAATCAAGTCACGGCGCGCACGTTTTATTTGTTTGTTTGTTTTTTTGTCATGAGTGTGTTATGATACAGAAAGGTATGTCGAAGCAGGATCGCTATCATAAAGTGAAATAAACGTGATTGATATGTAAATGCTAACGCTATAGACATTGAAAAGTAACCCTTTGAATTAAAAAAAGAACGCTATACATGGGTTAGCACAAGCCACGGCGTATGTTCAAGATGGGTTTGGCACTTCTGGATTAGGCTGATCACGTGTGCAACTACTTTTAAATGCAGTAACGAGGTACAAGTAGGCGACAAAACTTAATTCATTATTTGTGTAAGCAAAAATTAAAATAGCAGCTCATTTTTTATATATTTCCCTATTTCGCAATCGACACAATCAAAGCTGGACAAGCAGTAATTACATGTGGGCCAAATGTGAAATAGATTAGATTTGGATTGCGGTTTATTCAATCAAAGAAGTGTGAAATTTTAGTAACGAATGAGACTGCTCCAACAACTGGTGACAGATGTAGAGCCCCAGTTTGCTATGTACACCTAATTTATTCTAACCAATCAAAGTCACACGATTTACGAAGTAAATTTGTTGTGTTGTTGCTGTTGTTCTTTTTTACCAATCTCCGTACTCTCTTGATTCGTGTAGGAAAGTCACTAAAACAAAAGGAGACGAGGGAAATAGTCCCCAGCCATCACACAGAGTGATCTGCACATCCCAATGGTATTTGTACAGTTGTTTAACGTAATTGTGGCCTGGGGTAGGCTCCTCCTCTCGGCTGTCTTTTTACGCTAACTCCAACATGAAAAAAAAAATTTCCGATTGCTCGATTATAATAATAGTAAGAACAAAACAAGTACGATAGTACATAGTGCCCCAATGCTGAACAGACAATACAACAGATATATTTCCGCTTTTTTTTACTGCCCATAAAAATACTGGCGAAAAACAAATTTCAACCGAATTTAATACTGCGTTGTTTTTCACCTATGGTCATTTTGAATTTTTATTATTTTTTTATTCAACACATGGAAACATTAAGTTATTTACTTCGCTAGCGTAACAACCGTTTTTGTTTTGTAGACCTCAAAATACGAATTATTAACAACAAGAAAATGTGCAAATATCTATAAAGATCCTAAACACTTTCAAATATATTACGTTAAAATCATAGCACAAATTGATTCCAAACTACTGTAAAATGGACAATTTATATTTTTTCTCAAAACATATAGATATGGCCATACTCAAGTCATTATCACTAATTACCCCGCCTTCATTTTGCATATACACGTTCTCTAGTAATTATCACAAGAATTTCTGAGTGTTAAACTCATCATCATCATAATTACCATAACGATAACCCTGATTATAAAGTGTAAAAAGCAACATCAAAGGAGGAGAAATTTAGTGAGAACCAAATGTGATTTTGTAACACTATGAGAGTTCAGATGCAGTTCACTCTCACATAACTTTTTAGTAGTGTAGAGAGGCCTGGGGCGCCGGCCACACACACCCTCTCCACCCGACTTCATTAACAAAAAGTTCTATTTGCTAATTTATCTATTTAAATTTGTCCGCATTTATTAAAAAATTTCATCATTTTTCGTTTGTTTATTACTCTGAAGAATGTATTGCTTCTCCATCTCTGCTTTCACTCTGTCAATTTTCCCCTTCGAAACCCATCCACCCATCCCAAGCTCTGTCTCATCCTTCTTTCTCTCCTTCACTTATTCGTTCACTCCTTCGTTCATTCAATCTAATGGTTTGGGTTGCGTCAACCAAAAATGTCGTAATTTGTGTCACCGTCCCATCAATTCCGGTGTAGACACGAAGAACAGGGTCGATTAATCTCTGTCTGAGCGGCGGGGCCGGCACGCCTGTCAACAAAGGAGGCGGTCGATGTAATCAGAGGGCTTGTTCTTCTGCCCTCTAAGGCCATCTATCTCATAAAGTGGCAGAGGTGGTCTTCAAGTCTTCTTAGCAGAACAAAAATCAGAAGAGATGATTTTAAATAAATAGCTGACTTCTGTGCCTAGCACAAAGACTGATGCATATTCTCGCCAGTTCGTTTTCATCATGACTTTAAATGTCTGACGTGATGACCTCCCCCTCCCTATATGGAAGTGGTCTTGAAGAGTTTGCTTTACAACGAAAGTGATTAAAAAATCCCAAAAATTGCATACATCCAGCTTGCCATTTATTTTCTTAATTTGTCTTCAATCTGCAGGGAAAAAACTGGCGCCATTAACTTCGGTGTCGTGTATATTGCCATGGTGGTTTGTTTCCCCTTTCAAGCAGAAATATTTAGAACCCCCCCCCAATAACTGACATAAAACATTCCCTCACATATCATGAAGGGATTATTATTATTATTAGCATTCAAACGTACAGATAATTATTTTTTACGTCTGAAGTGTCTTTAGTTCGCTGTCTAAGAAAAAAAAAGCTGCTGACATTCTCGGAAGAGCTGGGCCCTCGTGGGACCACAAAAACAAAGGAAGACGAGACTCTTCTCTTTAGCTTTCAGTTGAGGAGCAACCTCAAATACCAAGATGGTTCGTATGCATACGACCACCTAGCTAGTTCCCTTAGGTTTTTTTTAATAAAGGAGACAGTTATTTTAAAAAACAGCATATACCTCGCGGCATTCTCCTATCACTTAAAAAGTTACCAAGACGGACCCCAAGTGAAGCAAATTCACAAGAGAATTTTCATGGGCAGGGAGTGTTTGGGATACAGTACCAGTCTGTTTTTCTCATTCATATATTTTTATATTATTGTAATCATTTATTGTGACTTTCGATAATGGGTCTAAGGATTGACTGCGTTAAGCTCCAAAAGTGATTTACCTCTTGAACTTGGAAAGAAGACATCTCGGATTTTACAAGGTCGTGGCAAAGTTTGAGTTGAGAGTTAACTTGAGAATTAGCTGACAGAATAAGTGGTGAGTTATCACTAATCATATCTAGACCTATTGCTCCAAGGTCACCACTGGCCATCTTCATTTCTCTTGACCGCTTGGCCGGGATATTAAATTGATGTAAACTTCGGCGTTTATCCAACCCTTAAATCGACTTTCAACACGCAAGCAAATATGGTTACTAAAAACCACAACAAGTTTGAAAATCCCAACGCAGATTCGCATGATTAGACGTTTGTTATCTTTACATATTATTTTTGTGCGTAGGTTATTTTGATAGTTTTGTAGATAAAGGATCTTTTCTGTGTACAAATGCACGCCCGAGCCTTTCAGTTTTTTAGATCTCTTTTTACATGTAGATAATAATTGATAATGTCACGAATGTCCCCTAGTTTTGCAGATATTCTAAGACTTCCGTTCACAAGTGGACTGATTCCTCCTACTGTCGACATATTTAAGTGCCGGTGTCAGCCATTTTGAGCTCAATAAAACATGGTGTTTTGCGTCAGTGAAAAAGTATCTGCCCA